TAATTATTGGGTAGTAAGTCTACAACATGTTTCAGTGTGCTGATAGAGCTACTGCTGGTGAAAATTTACCTAAATCTTGATTACCAAATACGTCTCCAGTACATTCAGTTCTTAATCAAAGACTTCATCTTGAATGACACCAGTATTCCTCAATGTTTGATATAAATGTAACAAAAGACTATCTTAAAACACATTGACCTCAGGCAAAATCTCAGCTGTGTAGGCATTTAATGTGTTCATCTGTTCATTCGTCTCCCAAAACAGTAAAAGATAACCATTCTTTGTTGGGCAATATCAAATTTACAAAAGAACAGAATGCCAAATAGCTGAAAATGGAGACGGCCTGGATTAAGAATATTGTTTTGATTAAGTGTGATCTTTGGATTAAATGCTTTCTTAGAAATGTTACTTTTATACAGCTTTAAAAATGAACTCACAATTTATATATCCATCTACTTTAGTCCTTTAAAGAACTTTTTTATGCATCTTGCTGATCATGAAGGAATATCAAGAAGGATTAGATTAGCTGTTGCTGTTTCTTAATTTTATAAGCTTAGATTCCTGCATTATGACTAAAACTGGAGGCAAATCAGTTTGAAAGTATTGAAATAATTGCTAATTAACCACAAGTGTGAACTTACCATGTTGTTAAAAATAAATACTTTCGGGCGGGGGGATAAAATGGACACATATGTAATACCCTTTGTAATACTTTAAGCAATAAAAAAAAAAAATAAATAAATAAATAAATAAATACTTTCCTTAAAGCACTCATACCTTGTCTTTCTCTACTGTGAAAAGAAATGACTTAGCCCTCTTAACATTTCCTTATACCTCACCTGTACCCAAACAGGTTATATCGCTGGGGAATGAAAGACAACCCACAGGCATGCTGACAGAGCTCACTTTAACTTCATAACCACACCTGGCCAGTGTGGCTCAGTGATTGAGCGTCAACTCATGAGCCAGGAGGTCAGGATTCAATTCCTGTCAGAGCCCATGCTTGTGCCCTCTCGCAGTCTGGGACCCCTTGGGAGATAATGACCTGCTGGCTTAGGCCTGCTCCAGGGTGGCAGAGGGCAGGCCCAATCCCTAGGTGCAGCCCCTGGTTGGACTCAGAGCAGGGCCTATTGGGGAGTTGGGGCGCCGCCCCCTGTCACGCACAGAGCAGGGCCAATCCGGGGTTTGGGGTGCTGTCCCCTGTCACACATAGAGCAGGGCTCATCAGGGGGTTGAGGAGCTCCCCCCTGTCACAGAGTAGGGCCGAGAGGGGAGTTGGGGCACCGCCCCCTGTCACACACAGAGCAGGGCCGCCCTCTACCACCCACAGAGCAGGGCCGATCAGGGGGTTGGGACGCCACCACTCTCACACTCAGGGCAGGGCCGATGGGGAGGTTATGGTTCTACCCCATCACACACAGAGCAGGGCCTGTGGGAGGGGTGGGGGTTGTGGCGCCGCCCTCTATCACCCACAGAGCAGGGCCGATCAGGGGGTTGGGGCGCCGCACCCTGTCACACACAGAGCCGCAGGGTGATCAGAGGTTGGGGAGCTCTCCCGTATCAGGCACAGAGCAGGGCTGATCAGGGGGTTGGGGCGCCTTCCCCTGTCAGGAACAGAGCAGGGCAGATAGGGAGGTTGTGGCCCTGCCCCCTGTCACACACAGAGCCGCAGGGCGATCAGGGTGTTTGGGTGCTGCCCCCTGTCACACTGATCTCGGTGCTGGGAGGCCTCTCGGCTCTGCTGATCCTGGTGCTGGGAGGCATATTACCCTTTTACTATATAGAATAGAGGCCTGGTGCATGGGTGGGGCTGGCTGGTTTGCCCTGAAGGGTGTCCTGGATCAGGGTGGCGGTCCCCACTGGGGTGCCTGGCCAGCCTGGGTGAGGGGATGATGGCTGTTTGCAGCTGGTCACACACCCTTCAGGGTGAGGGTCCCCACTGGGGTGCCTGGCCAGTCTGGGTGAGGGGCTGAGGGCTGTTTTCAGGCTGGTGGGTGACGGAAGCTCCCAACCGCTCCTTTCTTTCTTTTTTTCTTTTAATTCTGGGCCAGCTTTAGCTCTGATGCTCCAGCTCTTAGGCCTCTGCTGCTGAAAGTAGGTAATAGAAACAATGTATAACTCCAGCTCTGACTCCAGCTCTGAGGTCCCAGCTCACTGAAAGCTGGTTTCTGGGGTTTTTTTTAGCTTCTATATTTGTTAAAATGTTTCAAACTGCAGGCTCAGAGGCCTGTAAGGCAGGCGGGAACTTTGGTTTCCTCTGTCACTGAAGCAAGCAAGCCTCATGTTAGTTTCAAGCTGCCTGGCTCCGGTCGCCATCTTGGCTGACAGTTAATTTGCATATCTCCCTGATTAGCCAATGGGAAGGGTAGCGGTCGTATGCCAATTACCATGTTTCTCTTTTATTAGATAGGATATTGTTCTTTTGATTAATTACTCTGCTTTAATTATGTTCAATTTGTAACAATGAAAATACATCCTGCATATCAGATATTTACATTACAATTCATAACAGTAGCAAAATTACAGTTATGAAGTAGCAACGAAAATAATTTTATGGTTGGGGGGGTCACCACAACATGAGGAACTGTATTAGAGGCTCCCGGAATTAGAAAGGTTGAGAACCACTGGGTTAGAGTGTCAGCCTGTGCACCAGAGGATCACAGGTTCGATTCCCAGTCAAGGGCACTGCACTCATTCGCACAGTATTTAGCGCCACTGAAAGGCAATGGGGGTTGAGAACCAAGATGGCGGCATAGGTTAACGCCGGAGTTTACTGCTTTGAACAACTACTTCAAAAGTGAAACCAAAAAACGGAAGGGACATCACCCAGAACCACAGGAACGCTGGCTGAGTGGAAGTCCTACAACTAGGAGGAAAGAGAAACGCATACGGACACTCAGAGGAGGCGCAGTGCTGAAGTCAAATTCTGAGGTGCGGAGTGCGCGGAGCGGGCTGGCGGCGGAGGGCTCGGTTGGCGTTTTCAATCGGGAGGGAGTCGCAGACTCTGAGCTCCAGATCCGGGCGAGTCTTTAGGGACCCAGACTCAAACGGGAGAAGCAGGACTGTCTGGCTTCGGTCAGAGCGAGTGCAGCTTTCTCTCTGAGCTTTGCAGTGGGTGCTGGGACTCAGAGAGGCAGAGCCCCTGGGGACAGGACTGAGAGCCACCATAACTGCTCTCTCCGGCCCACCCTGTTGATCCTGTGGGACCCGCCCCGCCCAAGCCCTGCACACAGGCATTTGCTGGATAGCCTCAGGCAAAGGCTAGATTAGCACCTCCCTAGAGGACAGAAGTTCTCTCACTGCTGACACAGCTGATTCTCATAGCCACTTGGCCTGGAGGTCAAACCCTCCCTGGAATTAGCTACAACAATCAAGATTTAACTATAAGACTGCGAACAAAGACCACTAGGGGGTGCACCAAGGAAGCATAACAAAATGCAGAGACAAAGAAACAGGACAAAATTGTCAATGGAAGATATAGAGTTCAGAACCACACTTTTAAGGTCTCTCAAGAACTGTTTAGAAGCTGCCGATAAACTTAATGAGATCTACAAGAAAACTAATGAGACCCTCAATCTTATATTGGGGAACCAACTAGAAATTAAGCATACACGGACTGAAATAACGAATATTATACAGACTCCCGACAGCAGACCAGAGGAGCGCAAGAATCAAGTCAATGATTTGAAATGCGAGGAAGCAAAAAACACCCAACCGGAAAAGCAAAATGAAAAAAGAATCCAAAAATGCGAGGCTAGTGTAAGGAGCCTCTGGGACAGCTTCAAGCGTACCAACATCAGAATTATAGGGGTGCCAGAAGATGAGAGAGAGCAAGATATTGAAAACCTATTTGAAGAAATAATGACAGAAAACTTCCCCCACCTGGTGAAAGAAATGGACTTACAGGTCCAAGAAGCGCGGAGAACCCCAAACAAAAGGAATCCAAAGAGGACCACACCAAGACACATCATAATTAAAATGCCAAGAGCAAAAGATAAAGAGAGACTCTTAAAAACAGCAAGAGAAAGAAACTCAGTTACCTACAAGGGAATACCCATACGACTGTCAGCTGATTTCTCAACAGAAACTGTGCAGGCCAGAAGGGAGTGGCAAGAAATATTCAAAGTGATGAATACCAAGAACCTACAACCAAGATTACTTTATCCAGCAAAGCTATCATTCAGAATTGAAGGTCAGATAAAGAGCTTCACAGATAAGGAAAAGCTAAAGGAGTTCATCACCACCAAACCAGGATTATATGAAATGCTAAAAGGTATCCTTTAAGAAGAGGAAGAGGAAGAAAAAGGTAAAGATACAAATTATGAACAACAAATATGCATCTATCAACAAGTGAATCTAAGAATCAAGTGAATAAATAATCTGATGAACAGAATGAACTGTTGATTATAATAGAATCAGGGACATAGAAAGGGAATGGACTGACTATTCCTGGGGGGGGAAAGGGGTGTGGGAGATGCGGGAAGAGACTGGACAAAAATCGTGCACCTATGGATGAGGACAGTGGGTGGGGAGTGAGGGCGGAGGGTGGGGCGGGAACTGGGAGGAGGGGAGTTATGGGGGGGAAAAAAAAGAGGAACAAATGTAATAATCTGAACAATAAAGATTTAATTAAAAAAAAAAAAAAAAAAGAAAGGCAATGGGGTGGATGTCCAGTTATGCACCTTGGATTGCAAACCGAGTAGAAAAGGAAGAAGGAGATAAATGAGAAATAAGCGGTTCAAGCATGGAGTTCTAAATGGAGACGAAGAAAAGCTGTGCGTGGGCGAGATTTCAGGAACTTGATTTCAGAATTGGAACGCTTCGGCGATGACAAAGGATTGCCCCCGAAAGCCCTTTCTCAGCCACCACGCAGCTTAGGTGTCGGGACGGGTGACAGGCCAGCGGGAGACTCTAGCGTCCCAGAGGCCCCTGGAGACAAAAGGCCCCGCCCCCCGCGCGGCGGCAGCGACCCGCGCGTGCGCAGTGCGCCTGTGCCGGTCGCGCCTGCGCACGGCGCCCCGCGCCCCTCCGGTTCCGCTCTCCGTCCGCGGGCTGAATGGGCTTCGGGCTCTGCACCGCCGGGGAGTGGCGGGCGGTTTCTCCTCTGTCTCCGCGAGCGCGGGCGACTCGCCCTCCCTCGGCCAGAAACCCTCCGCCGGGGCCGGCGCAGGAGGAGCGGCGCCTCTGAGGGCTGCGGCCACCCCGCCTGCCTCGTGTCTTTCCCTGGCGGCGGCGGCTTCTTCCGTGGGACAATATGTTCAAGAGAATGGCCGAATTTGGGCCTGACTCCGGCGGGAGAGTGAAGGTCAGTGTCCGCCCGCCGGTCCTCCCTGCGCGGCGTGGGGAGGGCCGCGGTGCCCCCCGAGGTTTCCAGGCGGGAGGGGGTCCGATCCCGGAGGGAGCATCTGTGTTTCCCGGGGCCCCAACCTCATGGCGTCACCACCTTCTTCCGTCCCCGCCAACAGAACAGACTTCGTGCTGGCTGCGGGCGGGGGGGGGGGGGGGGGGGGGGCAGAACGCCGGACATGGTTGCCCAGGAAACCAGTCTCTCCGAGGCCTGGGAAAACCCGCCTCGGTCGGTCCGCTGGGGGTCGTTCCGCTGGGGGCCGGGTCGGCGGGGTGCGGCCCACCCGCTGGGAAGGGTGGAAACAGCAGCAGATACTGGGTGAGCCCTCCGCCTGCCCAGCACCGTGGCCAAAAGCTTTTCCCGGTTCTCCGCTGCGGTCCCCAGGGAGCCTGACGGAGGCCGTTACCCAGAGCATTTGCCAGAACTCATAGCTGGGAGGTGGAAAGGGCAGACAACTCGCCCAGGTTCATGGTGTTGCCAAAGCCACGGCCGGATATTAACCAGGGCATGCAAAGCGCATTGCCTGGCACATAGGGACATGGACACCAGCTGCTTCAGTGTTTAGTTCAAGTTATCATAGAGCCTAGCATAATGTTTGACTCAGTGACACGTTTCCCTTGCACTTTCTTACATCCCCTAAGGCGCACGTTCATTTTTAACACATTGTTTGCGGGTAGTTTTTATCGCGCGCTAACCTGTGGCTCTACTACTTACAGTCAATGTAAAACGTATAAATACGTTTCCCGCATACAATGTTTAAGGCAGGACCAACTGGTTCCCAATATAACACCTGTTTCTACCCCTTAGGATGTTTATTTAGCCCAGAAAGGAAGTTTTTTCTCTTTTTTTCAAAAATATATTTTATTGATTTTTTACAGAAAGGAAGGGACAGGGATAGAGAGTTAGAAACATGGATCTGCTGCCTCTTGCACACCTCCGACTGGGGATGTGCCCGTAACCAAGGTACATGCCCTTGGCCGGAATCGAACCCGGGACCCTTCAGTCTGCAGGCCAGTGCTCTATGCACTGAGCCAAACCGGTTAGGGCTGGAATTTTTTCTTTAAAAAGAAATTACCCACTTTTGCAACAATCTAGCTAGTATAGGTTTTTAAAGAGTTCTTATCTGTCGTGTTGTTTTCACATAATTTTAACTCTATACTGTTTTTACAACTACCACACGTACTGCTTTAATATCATATGTAAAGTGGGAGTTCTTCTGAAATTTCAAAAGCTACTGAAATTTAATGTAAGCAGAAAGAGATGCCGGGTAAATTGATAAACATACACATTTTGCCCAGACTTTTGGGGCAAGGTTTTGGACTGATAGGAAAGTACTAGCAAACAAAGGGTTAAAATAGATTTTGGAGAAGAACTCACAGAACTTTCAATACTTGTAATCAATCATGTTAGGTTCTGAAAGTTTGTAAGTTTAAGTCCCAAGGGACTTGAGATTAGTCCTGTAGCCCTCAAATGCTTTTCTACAAACATAGGCGTGAGTTAGTCATGTAAAGCTTAAAAGCAGTGATTTGCAACCTTTTTCGTCTCACAGCACACATAAACTAATTACTAAAATTCTGTGGCACACCAAAAATATATATTTTGCTGATCTGACAATAAAAGGGGGGAGGGGTATAATTTTGATTCATTCACACTGGATGGCTTTTGTTGTATTGGGTGTTGTCATTTTTTTATTTGATAGTCAAGAGAATATAGCTCAGTGCCCCTGGCTAAATAGTTAGGTATGTCATGTTTTAAAATTTCTTGCAGCATGCCAGTTGAAATTGCTGTTTTAAACTTAGGGACTTACTTCTCCTCACTCATTGTTAAGTGGTTTTGTAGGCATCTTTTTCCAATTTAGATAAATTTTATCCAGGTACAAAGTCTGTTGAGAGATGAGCCCATTTTTATCATTGAGGAACTCTGCAAGTTCCTACCAACACCATAGCAGCCATGGGATCTATTAGCCACTCACCAAGTCAGCTCTCCTTATACTCACTCATTCAGGCCTTGAACCTGAGGCCCTGTCTGGTTCCACAAAAGTGTCAGTAACACTTACCGTGATTATTTACGTTCTTATACAAACAGCTTGCCTTCTTCTGGACTAACTTAGGCTAATAGGTATTGAATTTATTTTTTACTTATTCAGCCACAATTAATAGTTTTTCCATTTGTTCACTGCTTTCCCTCATTTCTTATTGGTTACATTGGCACAACACTTATCACATGTGTATATCTTGCTCTTTGACCTTGAGATACATTCTTAATATTGAACAATTGATCTGAAATTCATGTGTAACATTCAGCATTTTGTCTTCACTTGAAATTTTTTCTCTCCTCCATCATAATCTGTCAACACTCACTGCCTTTACACTCATCAGATGTGATGAGAAACATGTATGTACATCTCAGAAATGAGCCCAAATGTAGGAAGCATGGCCATTGGCAGTAAACGAGCATCAGTCATCCAAGTGATGCTTTATCGTTATCCAAATCCAGCTGTAATATTTAACATTTTTATTTAGATTTTCAAAAGCCCGTTCTGCAGCATTAATATTTTTGAAATTATGGGTTTGAATTGTTGTTATAGTTACGGTTTTTCAAATAGTGGAAAATGTAAAGCCATAAATAATAAAATGCGTTTATTATGTTTGCTCTTATTTTACCTAAAATCTTCTTCCAAGTTGTCTTTAGTATTTGTACTGTGCTTTGGAAAACACTGCCATAAGCTGATAAATAGGACATTATCATTAGCTGATTGCAGTTGAAGTTGGCGATCTTTATTGCAGAGCCTCACTTTAAAGTTTGTGAATAAAGATCCTTTTGTGTTTCTTTTCAGAAAAGCTCTCAAAGTACTTAACATAAACATATTTTTATTGATTTCAGAGAGAAAGGAGAGGGGGAGAGACAGGCACATCAATGATGTGAGAATAATTGATTGGCTGCCTTCTGCACTCCCCACACTGGAAATTGAGCCCTTAAAGCTAGGCCTGTGCCCTGACCAGGAATCGAACCCTGACCTTCGGCTCCATAAGTCGATGTTCAACCACTGAGCCTCGTGCAGGGCTAAAATAGACATTTTCAAAGTGGGGACATTATAATTAATCTGGTGTTTAGTTATTTGTATTAATATGAAATGAGGATAATTGTCTAAAATTGATTTACTGAGAGAAATGATGTTATAAGCAAACTAGTTTTGGGGTTTTTTTTCAATTACAGTTGACACAATATTATATTAGTTTCAGGTGTACAACATGGTGATTAGACATTTATATAACTTACGAAGTGATCACCCTTATATATCTAGTAACCATCTGACACCATACATAGTACTTTACTGTTGACTATATTCCCTATGCAGTACTTTACATCCCTATGACTATTTCGTAACTACCCATTTGTACTTAATTCCTTCACCTTTTTCACACCCCCGTCATCCCCCTCCAACCTGGCAACCATCAAAATATTCTCTGTATCTGTGAGTTTGTTTCTGTTTTATTTGTTCCTTTATTGCACATAAAGGTGAAATTATATGGTACTTGTCTGTCTCTGTCTGATGGATTTCACTTAGCATAATACCCTCTAGGGTCCATCCATGTTGTTGCAAACGGTAAGATTTCATTCTTTTTTATGGCTGAGTGATATCCCGTTGTATATAATATTCCATTGTATATATCTACCACTTCTTTATCCATTCATCTATTGATGACACTTAAGTTGCTTCCGTATCATGGCTATTTTAAATTGTGCTACAATGAACATACAGTGGGGCCTTGACTTACGAGTTTAATTCTTTCTGAGACCGAGCTCGTTAACTCAAATTACTCTGTCAACTCAAAGCAAAAAGTCTGCCGAGAGACAGCTGGTATCTCAAAACACTCGTTAGTCGGGACACTCATAAGTCAAGGCCCCACTGTATGTCTTTTTGAATTAGTGTTTTGGATTTCTTCAAATAAATACCCCAAAATGGAATTGCTGAGTCCTTCTTTGTCTCTTGTTATAGCCTTTGTTTTAAAGGTAGGTGGGTGGGTGGGAAGAGCTCAACCAAAGAACTTGTATGCATATATATGCATAACCCATGGACACAGACAATAGGGAGGTGGGCTAGAAGGGGACAATGGGGGGAAAAAGGGGACATATATAGTACTTTCAACAGTAAAGATTTAATTAAAATAAAGTCTATTTTGTTTGGTATAAGTATTGCAACCCCAGCTTTTTTTGTTTCCATTTTCTCGAAGTGCTTTTTCCATCCCTTTACTTTTAGTCTGTAGCTTTCCATCTGAAACGAGTCTCTTATATGCCTGCCATTTCTTAAAACAAACTTTCAGAACTCTTCTGTTTATTTGGGTAATGATACAATATTAATTTGTGTTTAAAATTTTCCTTTTAGGGGGTTACTATCGTTAAACCAATAGTTTATGGCAATGTTGCTCGATATTTTGGAAAGAAAAGAGAAGAGGACGGGCATACCCATCAATGGACAGTATATGTAAAACCATATAGAAATGAAGTAGGTACTGTTTTTTCCTATAGTTTGTTTTGCTTGAAAATAAATTTTAATATTATAGAAAAGTTACCCACCCCAAAAGTTGAAAGAATAAAGTGAGAGCTGTCATTTTCATAAGATTGTTCAGTAGAAATTTTCCAAAAATGTTTTCTAATTAAAATTTGCCGAAACCGGTTTGGCTCAGTGGATAGAGCTTCGGCCTGCAGACTGAAAGGTCCCAGGTTCGATTCCGGTCAAGGGCATGTACCTGGGTTGCGGGCGCATCCCTGGTGGGGGATGTGCAGGAGGCGGCTGATCGATGTTTCTCCCTCATTGATGTTTCTGACTCTCTATCTCTCTCCCTTCCTCTCTGTAAAAAATCAATAAAATATATTTTAAAAATAAATAAATAAAATTAAATTAAATTACACTAACAAGAACTGTGCTATAAACACAGCACATCTTCCAATCACCATGTCTTAAGTTAGCTTAGTATTTAATCAGATGTTTCAAGAATAGTAGTTAATTTTTAAGTGATAATTTGGTTGGTTATCATCAGAGAAGATAAAAGACAAAACTGCTATATAATCTGGCTGCTGGTAATTTTGTTTTGTTGCTGAATCTCTAATGCCTGGAATGCAGCCAGTCCATAGTAGGTATTCAACAGATATTTATTAAGTGAATAAACTATTCCTCTACTTAAACCCTTCAAAGTCCACACAAAAGAATGGAAACAACTCAAGTGTCTTGAATAAATAAAATATGGTATATCCATGCAATGGAATGTCATTAGGCAGTAAAAAAAAAAAAAGTATTGGTACATGCTGCTACCACATGGAGAAATTGAGAAAATTACGGTAAGAGAAAGAGGCCAGACACAAAGGCCACATATTCTATGATATCATTTTTATACAATGTCAAGAATAGGCAAATCCTGACACAGAAAATAGATTAGTGGTTGCCAGTGGTGGGAGGAAGAGGGACTTAAGAATGAGTGCTAATGGTATGGGGTTTCTTTTTATATGATAAAAATATCCTAAAATTGAATATAGTGATGGTTGTACAACTCTGAATATACTAAAAAGCCACTGAATGCTACGTTTTAAGTGGGTGAATTATTTGGTGTGTGAATATCTCAATAAAGCTGTTATTAAAAAAAAAACCCACCTTCAATGACTACCTATTAGCCTCATAAAGGTAAAACTATCTTATTTTAGAGGCATGCTGTGGTCTTTCATTATCCTATCTCGGTAGCATTATACCTTGTCTGTATTTGCTTCTTCATTCCTTATACCCTACATTCTACCAATACTAAATTACTTCTAGTTTCTCAAAAGAGCACTCTTAAACCCCTTCCTTCCTCCCTCCCTCCCTCCCTCCCTCCCTCCCTCCCTCCCTCCCTCCCTCCCTCCCTCTCTCCCTCTCTCCCTCTCTCCCTATTTTTACTATTTCCTTAGTCTTAGTTCAAGTGTATTTTCTTTAGAACTACTTTCTTGACCTCCAGAAACTGTTGTTAGGTGCCTCTCCTATGGTCTTATACCTCGTGCCCTCAATGACACAGATTACACTGAAATACTGATTTTCTTGTCTGCCGCCTACTCCATAGACAGATCCTGAGGGCAAGACCCTATTACCATTTTGGCATCTGGTACCCAAAGTTAGTAGTCACTCATACTTGTAGAATAAAAACGAATGAAACTATTTCCAAAACAGACTTCAAAGATACTTAGGAAAATCTACCTCAGAGAAAAATGTTCATACAGATGATGTGCTGTAGAATTATGCACCTAAAACCTGTATAATTTTGTTAACCAGTGTCTCTCCAATAAATTTAAAAAAAGGGGGGGGGGAGAAATGTTCACAATATTATATTAAGTAATGAAAGCAGATATTAATATATCATCATAGTATGATTCCAATTTAAACATATTGGATGCAAGGTAATAATCACACACAAAAATTCCTGAAAGAAAAAAAATTCATAAACATTTCTATTGTTTGGCTTATTCTGTTTTGCATTTTTCTATAATGTGGTATGTTTGAAAAAGACACGTTAGCTAGGAGAATCCCCTTTCATGTGTCAGAACTAAGGAATATGCCCTTGTGCTTGTGTATTTCCCTCCTAGTTTTTATATGTAGATGGCAGAACTAATTAATTCCTCTGTATTTCAGGATATGTCAGCATATGTGAAGAAAATTCAATTTAAGTTACATGAAAGCTATGGCAATCCTTTAAGAGGTAGAGTATAGTTTTTTCACTTATACAAATTTAAAAAGAGCTAGGAAACTACATCAGTAATTTACAATTATAATTGTTTTATTTTTTTTCTCTTCTTCAGTTGTTACTAAGCCTCCATATGAAATTACTGAAACAGGATGGGGTGAATTCGAAATAATCATCAAAATATTTTTTATTGATCCTAATGAGAGACCTGTGAGTAATGGTAATCTTTGTAAATTTAAAACAGATTTTTTTAGTAATTGTGAAAATGTAACAATACTTAATGAAGAGCATATTATGTGTTAACATTTTTATTCAGACTTACTTTATGTACTCTTATGGTATGGTGTATTTTTTTTTTAAAATATGTTTTTATTGGTTTTAGAGAGAGAGGAAGGGAGAGGGAGAGAAAGAGAAATATTGATCGACTGCCTCCTGCCTACTGGGGATCAAGCCCGCAACCTGGGCATGTGCCATGACAGGGAATCAAACCAGCAACCTTTTGGTGCATGGGACAACACTTAAGCAGGGCTGGCATGGTGTATCTTGCCATGAGTTAAGATTTTTCATTTTTAAGTGATGTGCCTTCCAAGGCTTTTATTTTTCAATATAGAAAGAAGGAATACAATGTGAACATTTATTGGAAAGAAACCATGAAAATCATATGATTACTACAGCAAAAATTTTACTTTTTAATTTACTGATTTTAGAGAGAGGAATGGGGAGAGAGAAAAAACAAACATCAATTTATTGTTCCACTGATTTATGCATTCATTGGTTACTTCTTGTATATATTCTGACTGGGGATCAAACCTGTCACCTTGGTGTATTGGGACAATGCTCCAACCAGCTGAGCTACTCGTCCAGGGATACCACAGCAAAAATTTTAAATTCACTAATATCATTTGGTTACTAGTAATAAACAAGTTGAGTCCATATGCTATCTGAAATGGGAGTATCCAGTTTTTTATAGTTAAAAGCCTTAGAAATATAGTCTTGTTGCTTTTTCAAAGCAAAAAGTACTAGCAGCTTTACTTTATATCTTACTTGTGAATCCTTATTGATAACAACCGACTTTTTCATTTTATGGTCTCTTCTTATAAGATCATTGCTTGATAATGCAAAAAGTCCCTCAAACCTTTCACTGTGATCCCTCAGCAACTTTGTGAAGTTGGTGATATCTTCATTTTAGATAGGAGAATACTAAGGCTCAGAGGTCAAGTCACAGACTCAAAAATACAGTTAGTTGTGGCAAAGCTCGTTTTGAACCCAAGTATTAGATTTAGACCCCACACTCTTTCAGTTACTCTTTCTTTTGACAAACCACTAAGCCTCAGTTTATTGATTGGTTGATTGCTTTTATAGAGAGGGAGGGAGGGAGACAGAAATATGGATTCGTTGTTCCACTTATTTATGCATTCATTGGTTGATTCTTGTATGTGTCTTGACTGAGGATCGAACCCACAACCTTGGCATAAGCCTGTTTTATTTTTAAACCTAGAAGGCCACAACTCAGTTATGGCTCTCTCATTTCACATTTGTGTGGCTGGTGTTTAATTTATTTCAGGGCTTGCTTTAATAGTTCTCACCACTAATTTTCATCTTGATAGATTTAAGCTCATTCCTTTGGCACCAAACATTTAGACTTTGATTATCAGATTAAAGTTTTAAAACTATATGTGGTTTTAAAGAAGTTGAGTATCATCCTGGCCAGGGCTGAGAGGATTGGTTCTTAACTAACTATATTAGAAGTACCCGAGGTGTTTTTTATAAGTTCGAACTAATAGGCCCAATCCCCTAGAGCAGTGGTTCTCAACCTTCCTAACGCCGCGACCCTTTAATACAGTTCCTCATGTTGTGGTGACCCCCAACCATAAAATTATTTTCGTTGCTACTTCATAACTGTAATTTTGCTACTGTTATGAATCGTAATGTAAATATCTGATATGCAGGTTGTATTTTCATTGTTACAAGTTGAACATAATTAAAGCATAGTGATTAATCACAAAAGCAATATGTAATTATATATGTGTTTTCCGATGGTCTTAGGTGACCCCTGTGAAAGGGCCATTCTACCCCCAAAGGGGTCGCGACCCACAGGTTGAGAACCGCTGCCCTAGAGAGCCTGATTCAGTAGGTTTGGAGAGCAGCCAGCACCCCAGGTGATTTTGATACAAGGTAAGATTTAGAACCCATTGACAGAGGCCATACTCTTCCTAGGTAGGAATTTCTTCATGCTGTCTCTGAAATAAGAATCTCCTTTGGGTTTTGCTAACTTCAGTATGGAGAATATTGACTTCTGTCATTAAGTGAAACATCCCGTGCAGGTTTGGGGTAGTTATAGGAATTTTTTTTTGTTTTTTTTTTTTAATATATTTTTATTGATTTCAGAGAGGAAGGAGGAGGGAGAGAGAGATAGAAACATCAGTGATGAGAGAGAATCATTCATTGGCTTCCTCCTATTCACCTCCACTGGGAATGGAGCCTGCAACCCAGGCGTGTACCCTGACTGGGAATCGAACCATGACCTCCTGGTTCATAGGTCAGTGCTCAACCACTGAACCATGCCTGCTGGGCATGGTGTGGGGTGGTTCTAGTTTTAAGAAAGCTCTACTTTGCCCTGACCGGTTTGGCTCAGTGGGTAGAGCGTTGGCCTGCAGACTGAAGGGTCCCAGGTTTGACTCCAGTCAAGGGCATCTACCTTGGTTGCAGGCATATCCCCAGTGGGAGGTGTGCAGGAGGCAGCTGATCAATGTTTCTCTCTCATTGATATTTCTAACTCTCTATTCCTCTCCCTTCCTCTCCGTAAAAAATCAATAAAATATATTTTTTTTAAAAAAAGAAAGCTTTACTTTATTATAAGCTTCCTTGAACTTTTTATTGATAATTATTCATACATTAGTTTTCTTTTTTCCTGTATAAACATCTGTGGCTCATTTAAATATTTTTCATGTGATACGGTTTCCAGGTCTACCATTTTTGTTTTCTTTCTAGAGTACTCTCACAACTGTTCTGTATGGCAAGAAATTATTAAATATTCATTATTTGCAAAATATTATTCAAATATCTTGATACAAAGATGAAGCACTGCTTTTGTTCTTAATCAAAATAGTCTTTTAAGCCCTGGCCAGTTTGGTTCAGTGGATAGAGTGTCAGTCTGTGGACTGAAGGGTCTCGGGTTCGATTCCGGTCAAGGGCATATACCTCAGTTGCAGGTTCAGTCCTTGGCCCTGATTGGGGAGCATGTGGTAGACAACCAATTGATGTGTCTCTCTCACATTGATGTTTTTCTCTTTGTCTCTCCCTCTCCCTTCCACTTTCTCTAAAAATCAGTGGGAAGATACCCTCAGGTGAGAATTAAACAAATAAATAAATAGTCTGTTAAAGAGACTAGAGCACAAAATTTAGCAGATATTGAGAGAGATAAGCAGTAATGTTACTAGAGCAGAAGCTCTTTTTAACTTTGTAAGATTGCTTTGAATTCATTTTAATTTTGAGAATGTGTGCCCTTACCTATCTCTTCATCTGTTGTCCCCTCCTATCCCAATTGGAAAATACATCTCTGAAAGAAATCTTTATATCATGTAATTTTAAAGTCCACTCTTGGAAAAGTAAAGTAATATGTTCTTTTGCACTTCTGCAGTGATTAATTTATTAAATAGGTTTCCATATAGATCTACATAGGCCTGAATTTATATATATATATATATATATATATATATATATATATAACTTTTTAAAGAGAGAGGAAGGGAGAGAGAGAAAGAGAAACATTGATTGGCTGCCTCCCACATGCCCCCTACTAGGGATGGAGCCCAAAACCTGGGCATGTGCGCTGACCAAGAATTAAACCAGCAACCTTTTGGTGCCCAACCAGCTGAGCCACCCAGCCAGGGCTATGCCTGAATTTTAGTCCCCAAAAACTATTGTAATATTCTTTTAGTATAATGAAACCATTATACTTTTTCAATAGTTGGTTCTTACAGAAAATGTCATATGAGAGCTTATTTAAAATATAAAAGACGCTAGTAACTTGTGACTTACTTCTGTTATCCATTAACCTACTATAGGTCAAGCCATTGTAAAAGGAATGGTGTTTCTAAAAGCAAATGCTAAAATTGTTGCCCTGGCCGGTGTGGCTCAGTGGTAGAGCATCGGCCTGTGCTCCAAAGGGTCGAGGGGTCGATTCCTGGTCAAGGACATGTATTTGGGTTGCAGGTTTGATCCCCAACCCTGGTCATGGCTGGTGTAGGAGGCAACCAGTTGATGTGTCTCTTTAACATCAATGTTTCTCTCTTTCTCCTTCCCTCCTCCTCTCTTCCACCTTTCCACTCTCTCTCTAAAAACCAGTGGAGAAAATATCCTCGGGTAAAGATTAACAAAACAAAAGCTAAAATTTCTATGCCTAGAAATACATCTGTAGTAAGTACAGGTGTTTTCATTGCTCTAAGAATCACCAAACACAGCTCAGAATTGGAGACATCTGTCTTGAAATTTTCCATTGCCTATATATTTTCATGAATGCCTCTGGTAGTCTAAATGATAAATTGAGGGGAGGACAGTTTTATTTATTTTTTGAATTATAAAAGTCATACGTGCAGATTTTTTTTTTAAGTTTTTTCAAACAAAAAGTACAAGTCTTTTGTACTAGTTTCCTAGGGCTGCCATAACATAGTACCACAAACTGAGTGGCTAAACAACAGAAATTTATTCTCACAGCTCTGGAAGCTAGAAGTTCAAAATCCAGGTGTTGGCCCTGCTCTCTCCAGAGCCTTTAGGGGAGGATTCTTTCTTGTCACTTCCAGTTTCTGGTAGCCCCAGGATCCTTAGCTTGTGGCAGCATAACTTCATCTCTGTCTTCATTGTCACATGGCCTTTCTCTGTGTTTCTTCTTATGAGGACACTAGTCATATTGGATTTTGGCACACCCTACTGACTTTATCTTAATTTGATTACATCTGCAAAAACCTTACTTTCAGATAAGGTCACTTTCACAGGGCCTAAGGATTAGGACTTCATATCGTTTTGGGGGACACAGTTCAACCCATAACATCTTGTTTTCTCCCATATCTGGCCCCTTGCCCAGGAAAACCATAGTTACTCTTTTCTGTTTCTCTAGAAATTACTCGCATGCATCTCATATAGTTTGAATTTTTCTTTTAGATAGTGCCTGTCAACTACTAATGAGGACAGATGATCTTTTTCTTCATCTTGCCAGGTTTCTGTTTTTCATTTTGCTGGAGGAATTTCTTTAGAAAGGATGCCTAAGAAATAAACTTTCAGAGCCATTGCTATCTGAAAATTCTTTATTTTTACTTCATACTGTTTGGATGAAAAATTCTAGGTTCCACAGGAAGATATGCATGTTCTCTTGTCTATGGGTGAAGGGAGATAGTAGAAAGCTAACAGGCCCAGCCGCCCCCAGCATTCTTGATTTCTCCACCTGCCAACTCTGAGCTCTGAACCTCTCTGGGGCTCCTCTTGGAGTGCCGGCTCCCATCTGTGTACAGTTCTCTTCCCTACGTTTCCAGGTTGTGATTTCCCTGTTATGGAATATCCATCCATGTAGTCACATGCCCTTGTCTATTCCATACATTTCTCAAATTATCTGCTTGGAATATGGCTTGTGATTGATGCATGGTTACTTATAATGATTTTTGCTAAGTTTTGGAAAATTCTCTGAGGCCTCTGAATTGGTTTCTCCAACTTCAACATGAACTCTGATATTTTGCCAGCTGGGTTTTATTTTGCTAAAGTAATCACACATTGTTCTACAAAACTTTTCCTTTGATGTCTTACTACACTTGTTTTTTTTTAAGTATTTTGAAGACATGTTCATGCCAAAGTGAATTACCACTGACTTTGTTACTTACGTAATAATCTTTTTTTTTTAATAATTTTTATTTCTTGAAGTATTACAAAGAGTATTACATATGTCTTCTTTTTCCCCACCTTGACATTCCCCTGGCCCCTTCCCCCCAGTGTCTTGTGTCCATTGGTTATTCTTATATGCATGCATATAAGTCCTTCGGTTGATCTCTTAATCCCCCCGACCAAACCCTCCCCAGGCTTCCCACTGTAGTTTGACAGTCTGTTCAGTGTTGCTCTGCCTCTGCATCTACCCCTGTTCATCAGTCTATTCTGGTCCCCATTATCTGTCCCAACCTCACTGGAGCAGTCCCAACCTCTCCGGGGCCGTCTCGGCCTCACCGGGGCTATTTCAACCTCACTGGGGCCATCCCTACCTCACCAGGGCCGTTTCAACCTCACCGGGCCTTCCTGACCTCACCGGGGCCGTCGTGACCTCACCGGGGCCGTTTCAACCTCACCAGGGCCGTCCCGACCTCACCGGGGCCGTTTCAACTCACCGGGCCGTCCCAACCTCACTGGGGCCGTCCTGACCTCACCGGGGCTGTTTCAACCTCACTGGGGCCGTCCCAACCTCACCGGTGCCATTTCAACCTCACCGGGGCCGTCCCGACCTCACCGGGGCCATTCCGACCTCACCCGGGCCGTTTCAGCCTCACCAGGGCCGTCACAACCTCACTGGGGCCATCCCGACCTCACCGGGGCCGTTTCAACCTCACCGGGGCCGTCCTGACCTCACCAGGGCCGTTTCAACCTCACCAGGGCCGTCCCAACCTCACCAGGGCCGTCCCAACCTCACCAGGGCCATTTCAACTTCACCTGGGCCGTCCCGACCTCACTGGAGCCGTCCCGACCTCACCGGGGCCGTCTTGACCTCACCGGGGCCATTCTGGCCCCGGATGCCGTCTCAACCTTACCGGGGCCATTCCGACCTCACCCGGGCTGTTTCAGCCTCACCGGGGCCGTCACAACCTCACCGGGGCCATCCCGACCTCACCGGGGCAGTCTCGACCTCACCAGGGCCGTCTCGATCTTTCCGGGGGCATCCCGACCTCACCGGGGCCGTCCGGGCCTCACTGGGGCCGTCCTGACCTTACTAGGGCCATCCCGATCTCACCGGGGCTGTATCGTCCTCACCGGGGCCATCCCGACCTTACTAGGGCCGTCCCGATCTCACCGGGGCTATATCGTCCTCACCGGGGCCGTCCCAGCCTCACTGGGGAAACACAAAGTTTGGCCCTCTGTCCCCTGCTGGGCGGCTCCCCACCAGACAAAATCTCCAGGCATTCCTGGTGGCTGAACATCCAGCACTCCTGCTCGGACTACGCCCTCCACCAAGTGCACAGACTGCCCGTCTGCCGTCCCCCAGCGTCCCACGCGAGACTGGAACCGGTGGGCGTGCTTGTGCGCCTGCTGGTACAGCGGTTCCACATCGCCGGCCCAGCCGGGCCCAGCCCCGGCCTGCCCCGAACCCGACTCCGCCCTACGAGTGCGTCCCTCCTGGATCTGAGGAGCTGAAATCTGCAGCCTGCAGGGTTGGGCTCTGTACTTGGTGCCTCTGCACATCCTACTTAGTCTCAATGCTCTTCTTTCTATGCAAGGAGTTGAAATCTGCAGTTTGTTGGGTTGGGCTTTGTACTTGGTGTCTCTGCACATCCTACTCAGTCTCAATGTTCTTTCTTTTCTTCCAGCTGTAGAGCTTCCACTAGGCCAGCTTTCCCATGGTTCCATATGATAGCTGTTTGTCCTATAGTTGGTAGTTTCGATGTTGTTGTGGGAGGCAGCACGCACAGGTCTCTTCCTTACACTGCCATCTTGGTTCTCCTGGCTCTGCTTCTTGAGTGTGTCTCCCATGGGTGCGAGCAGTTGAAGTCTGCAGTTTGTTGGGTTAGGCTGCAAAAGTGCAGGTGGGTCTTTTTGTGCACCTGGCACAGCTTGGATGGGGATGTAAACTGAGTAGGGCTGGGTCTCACGGAGTTGCCAGGGCGGAGCAAATAGCAATGGCAGCGTCTCCGTGGCTCCTCGCCTCTCCGGGACACCGGGGCTTCGCGTCCCCCAGTGCCAGCGAGCAGCTGCACGACAGAGCCTCCCTCGCTTTCTGACGGCTGCAAGGCCGTGCCGCCTCTACGTAGGGTCTGGTGCCTCATGATCCCGCCCGAACCAGCTCAGTGGATTTGAGAGTTTGTAAAAGCACAGGCATTTCCTCTTGTGCCTCTGGCACAGCTTGGATGGGGATGTAAATTGAGTAGGGCGGGGTCTCAGGGAGTCACCAACGAGGAGCAGATAGCATTGGCGGCGTCTCCGTGGCCCTTCGCCTCTCCGTCCCCGGGACTTTGCGTCCCCCAGTGCCGGCGAGCAGCCACACGTCAGAGCTTCCCTCACTTTCCGACCACTGCAAGGCCGTGCCGCCTCTCCCCATGGGGTCTGGGGCCTCAGAGACCCGCCCCGAGCAAGCCCAGAGGATTCGAGGGTTCGTAACCGCATCTGATTGAAAAAAAACTGCGCATCCAGTTGCAGCCCGCCTGGCGCGTGACTGTGTACCTCTGTTTTTGATGCCTCTGTAGCTCCTACTCAGTCTCACTGCGCTTCTTTCTTTTCTTCCAGTTGTAGATCTCCCACTGGGCCAACTTCCCCATGGTTTTGAATGGTGGTTGTTTGTCTTATAGTTGGTAGTTTCAATGATGTTGTGAGAGGGCAGCACGCACAGGTCTACTCCCTACGCGCCATCTTGGTTCTCCTCCTTACGTAATAATCTTATAGGTCGCCAAAGAAATTATCTTACCCTCATAAGCATTTTAGTATTAGTCATTCCTTTTGAAAGTATCAAAATTTTTTTCCCATAGCAAATTTGTAAGCTTTAATCTTCACAGAACAACTGTCATAATCTAATTTCACTTGTTAGTGATTTTCCAGTTTAATTTCCAGAGCTGTATCTGATGTTATTTTTGTATACAGTCACTCTCTAGAAATGCTTTGTAACCGATCTTTATTTACCATCTTCAGAATGTTCATGTTTAGATGTGGATGATGGTAATACCTTATAGGAAAGTAAAAGTACAGAGAGTTTTGAGTGATTTGCCACAGTAAGTTGAGACAAGATCCTGAATTTGGTATGTTTACTAATTCCAGTCTCTAATTCAGTTACAGAAATGACAGCATTTCACAATGATGAAGGTAACCATTGCACAGATGTGATGTCTGTTTTTATTTCACAGGTAACCCTGTATCATTTATTAAAGCTGTTCCAGTCAGATACCAATGCAATGCTGGGGAAAAAGACAGTGGTTTCAGAGTTCTATGATGAAATGGTAAGATTTTATAACGAGAGTTTTAAAAGCATTCTAAATTGTAGAACTTTGAAGTTATTAGGCCTTTTCTCATTTTATCTCATTAGATATTTCAAGACCCAACAGCAATGATGCAACAATTATTAACAACATCTCGTCAGCTAACATTAGGAGCCTACAAGCATGAAACAGAATGTAAGTACCATTAGTTTATAATTAATCCTGGAAAATAGTGAGTATGGAGGAAGAAAAACTAGGTGCCCATAATGCTCTAAAGCAGTGGTTCTCAACCTGTGGGTTGTGACCCCTTTGGGGGTCGAACGACCCTTTCACAGGGGTCGCCTAAGACCATTGGAAAACACATATATAATTACATATTGTTTTTGTGATTAATCACTATGCTTTAATTATGTTCAGTTTGTAACAATGAAAATACATCCTGCATATCAGATATTTACATTACGATTCATAACAGTAGCAAAATTACAGTTATAAAGTAACAATGAAAATAATTTTATGGTTGGAGGTCACCACAACATGAGGAACTATGTTAAAGGGCCGCGGCATTAGGAAGGTTGAGAACCACTGGTCTAGAGGGTAGTGTTTTCAGGGGGAAATAAACCAGTATATTTATAGGCTGAAAGAAGTGATGGAACCCAGTAAAAGAATGGGTTGAGGACGAGAATACAGGGGAGAAGGCAGTTTCTGTTTAACCCTTGTTGGTTTCAATATTGTTTTGTTTGTATTTTTATGAAACTCATGACTAGAAGTTAAAAGATCTGAATATTGATTATAATTTTGCCACTTGGTAGTCATTTAAAATTTAAAATCATACTCATTTAAAAGTTTTATGCTTCACTTTCTGCATCTGCAAATGTATTTACCTGGCTTACTTCATTATGAACATAAAACATATGTATATGACCACTTTGACAAGGTAAAAAAGCACCTAATATGCTATTTTAATTTGTTATTGGTCATTTGTGCCCCATAGATCTTCTTTCTCCCATAGCATAAAATGTACCAAATTGATAGAGGAAAATTCTTTTAAAATTCAAGTGACCACATTTTTTGTGTTTTTAACAAAACAAATAACTCATTTAAGTAGGTACAAGTAATTAATGTGTTTTATAAAAAAGCTTTTCTATAAAATATATTTTATGTGTTAAAGCTTATCCAGAAGCTGTATATCCTTGGGAAGTTTTTACCAGTAAATTGCATGTTATGAATTATATTCACTTTATTTTCTTAATAATATCAAATCAGTAAGGAAAAAAAAGATAATTTCAAAAGTGGTACTGGCACAGTTGATGAGCTTTTGAGAAGAAAACTTAATTTAGATCATTGCTTCATAGCATTTATCAAAACAGATTCCAGTTTAATTAAAAATAGTTAAAAATGTTTTTTAAAGTCAGTCAACCTATTATTTAAAAAATTAGAGAAATGGCTGACCTGGCTGGGGAAGAGTTTTTAAAATTGAGATGTTAGAAGAAATTACATTAAAGGAAAGAAAAACCTGATTTTGTAAAAAATATTTAACTTCTACATTTCAAAAGGGCAAAGAAGAAAAATAATTTTGTAGAAATATGGCAAAAGATTAGTATCTTAAAAACCCTAAAATGGACAAATGAAATATAGGGTGTCCCAAAAAAAATGTATACACATTTTAAAAGCTGCTAGCTCAGTTTTTTTAAATGAAATTTATTTTAATAAACACTGTTTTTATAATTATTCAAAGAACTAGAGGCCCGGTGCATGAACTTGTGCATCAGTGGGGTCCCTGGGCCTGGCCTGTGGGATTGGGCCTAAACCGCCTCTCCGACATCCCCCAGGGAGTCCCAGGTTGCGAGAGGGTACAGGCCAGGCCAAGGGTGCACAATCAGGGCTGGGGAGGGACATGGGAGGTTGGCCAGCTGGGGAGGGAATGTGAGAGGGCTCTAGAGCATGTTCTGCCTGTCTTGCTCAGTCCCGATTGGCTGGACCCTAGCAGCAAGCTAACCTACTGGTTGGAGCGTCTGCCGCCTGGTGGTCAGTGCACATCATAGCAACTGGTTGAGTGGCCTTAGCATATCATCATCATATTATGCTTTGATTGGTTGAACGGCCAACTGGACTACCAGACACATAGCATATTAGACTTTTATTATATAGGATGTGCATACATTTTTTTGGGACACTGTATAAAAATTTTAAACTTCAATTGATAAATGGACAAAAGACATGGACAGGCGAAAGAAGAGATCACTAGTAAATAAAATGGGAAAATATTTGTCCCTGCTAGTAATTTTTAAAATGCAAAAAACTGGGAGGGGGAACATCTGTAATACTTTCAACAATAAAGATAAATTTAAAAAAAAATAAAGTGAGCTCTGCTGGTATGGCTCAGTGGTTGAGCATCAACCTAAGAACCAGGAGGTCACAATTTGATTCTGGTCAGGAACATGCCCGGGTTGTGGGCTCAGTCCCCAGTAGCAGGTGTGCAGGAGGCAGCTGATCAGTGATTCTCTCTCATCAGTGATTCTCTCTCATCAGTGATATTTCTATCTCTCTCTCCCTCTCTCTTCATCTCTGAAATATATTTAATAAAAATATATTAAAAATAAAATGAAAAGATAAATTTTAAAAACTGTGAAGCAAACAATGGGTGACCATATGGGTATCAAATCAGCAAAAGGAATCCTTAATAGTGAGGATGTGCCCTCAGTGAATAGAGCATCGGCCTGCGGAATCAAGGGTCCCAGGTTCGATTCTGTTCAAGGGCATGTACCTTGGTTGCGGGCACATCCCCAGTGAGGGGTGTGCAGGAGGCGGCTGATCAATGTTTCTCTCTCATTGATGTTTCTAACTCTCTATCCCTCTCCCTTCCTCTCTGTAAGAAATCAATAAAATATATTTAAAAAAATAGTGAGGATGTGTTGAACTTTACATTCTCATAAATTGTTTGTGTGGGTATGAATTGCTTTAGCCTCTTAGGAAAACAATTTAGGAATGTTAATCAAAGACCTAAAAAGATATGTACACTCTTACCAAGTTGAGGGCATTATACTCAATATTTGGTAATAATAAGATAGCAGATTTATTGAGTGCTTACTATTTGTTTTTGTTTTTATGGTTTTATAAAAAATATATTTTTATTGATTTTAGAGAGGAAGTGGGAGGGAAAGAGAGCTAGAAACATCAATGATGAGAGAGAATAATTCATTGGCTGTCTCCTGCACACCCCCTACTGGGATCAGACCAGCAACCCGGACATGTGCCCTTGACCGGAATTGAACCTGGGACCCTTCAGTCCGCATGCTGACACTCTATCTGCTGAGCCAAACTGGCTAGGGCAGAGTGTTTACTATTTGTACTCTTCTAAATCTGTACATGTATAAAATTTAATTCTACAATTATTTTATTAAGTACTCCATTTTATAAAAGCAAACAGGTATAGTTAAGTTACTTGCCCATGAATACAGCTAATTATTGGTAGAGTCAGGACTACATCCCAAGCACTCCTCAGAACTTAGGCTCTAAAAACTTAGTAATATTTTTAGATAGAGTGATATTCAGGATAGACATTTCTCATTATGAAGCATATTAAAAGTTTATAAAGATACTTGTGCTAGTAGTAAACCCATGCAAATTTAGTTAAACACTAATGATATAGCTTTTAAAGTAGTAGTTGCTTTTACAAGGAATAACTTAAATGAACATGCAATGAGAGCTTACTATGTACTAGACAAGCACTTAACATTTCATAACTTATTGGATACCATAATAACCATAAGAGGAGGGTACTACTTTTAGTCCCATTGTATAAGTAAAGACCCTAGAGCAGCGGTTCTCAACCTGTGGGTCGTGACCCTTTGGCGGTCGAACGACCCTTTCACGGGTCGCCTAAGACCATCCTGCATATCAGATATTTACATTACGATTCATAGCAGTAGCAACATTACAGTTATGAAGTAGCGACGAAAATAATTTTATGGTTGGGTCACAACATCAGGAACTGTATTTAAAGGGCCAGAAGGTTGAGAACCACTGCCCTAGAGCTACAGATCAGAGCCAGGATTTTAAACCCAGAGTCTGTACTCTTAACCAATAAGCTATCAATCTCTGTGTAAAAGCCTTATAATCTGTGCTTCAAACCAGTAAGTAAGATCGGCTCTGCACAAATAATTATTCTTCTTTGGATTAATTTACTCCAGCTTGAGGCTTCATTTTGAAATTTAAAAATATAAGCATTTAGTATGTAGAAAGCAGAAAAGTGGAACAAAATAAAAGAAGTTTAAAAATGTGTTCCCCCATGATCTCATTGCTAATTAACCTAGGCCTTCTTCCAGATATGTCCTGCCCTTTGCGATCTTATGATTTGTCAAGAATAAAGGGTAACTAAATCAGACCAACGGAATGTGTATCTACTGTGAATGCTGTCTTTCTGACAAATGAGTCAGGTCTTCCTGACTAGATTTAAGACTTACAATAATACAGGACTCCTTGTTGTTCCCCAAATGTACATGTGCTGTTTCTAGGGCCTGCTATGTGTACTTCCTCTACCTACTTCCTTTCTCATTCTGTAGAACTTTGTTCAGTTTTTCCTACTTCCAAGATGCCTTCCTTCATAATCACATACCCTTTTCCATTCCCCTTAGTATAAATCCAGTCTGCTTTCATGTCTCCCTATGATTATCTTATGACATTGTACTGCATTTTTCTTTCTTGTCCATCTTCTACCTCTGTACCCCAGCATGTAACAGTGGTTTTTAATTGATATGGAGAGGGGAGCAAGGGAATAAAATATTTTGTATTGTAAACAAAGCACTGTAAACAAAGTGTGAAGACTTTGTTTCAAACCATGAAAAACTATTGTGTTCATATCACAAATGATTAATTTCTTTAAAATATAAAGAGCTCCTACACCTCATAAGAAAGGCCAGTAACCAATAACCAAAAAGCTTCTGCACAGCAAAGGAAACCATCAACAAGATAAAAAGGCAACCTAGTGAATGGGAGAAAATATTTGCAAATCATGTATCTGATAAGAGGTTAATTTCCAAAATATATAAATAACTCATACAAGTCAAGAGTAAAAAAAGCAAACAATTTAATTTAAAAATGTGCAGAAGATCTGAATAGATATTTTTCCAAAGAAGATACAGATGGCCAACAGGTACCTGTAAAGGTGTTCAACGTCACTAATCGGGGAAATACAGATCAAAACCACAAAGAAATAATCACCTCCCAGCTGTCAGTATTGCTATTATAAAAAATGCATCAACAGCAACAAAGAGAAAACAAACACAGAAAAAAAAGGCATCAAACAGGTGTTGGCAAGGATGTGGAGAAAGGGAACTCTCACGCGCTGCTGGAGGGGTTGTAAATTGGTGCAGACATGGTGGAAAAACAGTATAGAGGGTTTTCAAAATCTTAAAAATAGAACTACCTTATGATCCAATAATTCTACTCCTGGATATTTATCCAAAGAAAATGAAAATACTAAATATACATATATATACATACATACATACATACATACAAATATACACACACTGCCATGTTTATTGAAGCATTATTTATGGTACTCAAGATATGGAAACTACCTTAAGTGTCCATTGATGGATGAATGGATAAAGAAGATATGGTATCTATATATACACAGTGAAATACTATTCAGCCATAAGAAATAAGGAAATTTTGCCATTTGTGACAACATGGATGGGACTTGAAGGAATTATGCTAAGTGAAATAAGTCAGACAGGGAGAGGAAAATACCATATAAGCTCACTTATATGTGGAATTAAAAAAAAAAAAACAAGTTCAAAGATACAGAGAACAGATTGGTGGTTGCCAGGAGGTGAGGGGTGGGCAAAATGGATGAAGGGGGTCAAAAGGTACAAACTTTTTTTTAATTTTTAAAATTTTTATTTACTTATTTTTAGAGAGAGTAAGGGTGAGAGAAAGAGAAACATCAATTTGTTGTTCTACTTATTTATACATTCATTGGTTGAGTATTGTATGTGCCCTGACTGGGGAATTAAACCTGCAACTTTGGCATATCAGGATGACGCTCCAACCAACTGAGCCACACTGACCAGGGCTAATTTTATTTTTTAATTACAGTTTACATTCAGTACTATTTTGCATTAGTTTCAAGTGCACAGCATAGTGGTTAGACAGTCATATACTTTATAAAGTATTCCCCTCGATGTTTCTAGTATACCCACCTGGCACCAAACATAATTATTACAATATTATTGACTATACTAGTATTGCCTATGCCCTGCTTTACATCTCCGTGAGGTAAAACTTTTTTAAAAAATATGTTTTTATTGTTTTCAGAGAGGGAGAGAAACATCAATGATGAGAGAGAATCATTGATTGGCTGCCTCCTGCACGCAACCCAGGCATGTACCTTTGACCGGAATTGAACCCCCCGGAACCGTTCAGTCTGCAGGCCAATGCTCTCTCCAGTGAGCCAAACCAGCTAGGGCCAAAACTTTTTTTAAAAAATGGAGGTGAAAACAATTTAGAAATAAAAGCAGTGAAAGAAAGTACAGAGAAAAATATGGATTGTTTTGGCAATATAAATATCTGTATTACAAAATGTATCACAAAAAGAAAGTCACTAGCAATGAGCAAAATAAAACATTGCATGTTTTGAATGTGCTAAATGTCTCACATATACATATAGTCTTCTTCCCTTGGTATCCATTGGGGATTGGTTCTAGGACACCCAGAGGATATGATAATCTGCTGATGCACAAGTCCCTTATATAAAACTAGAGGCCTGGTGTACGAATTTGTGCACTGGTGGGGTCTGGCTGGCCCACCCCAATCAGGGTGGGGGGGCTGATCAGGGTTGGGGCTGGCCGAGGAGAGGGGCTGCAGGCAGTTGGTCCGCTGGCCCCGGCCCCTGATTCAAATCCTGGTCCAACTCCTGGTCAAGGGGATAATTTGCATATTAGCCTTTTATTATATAGGGTAGGATGGTGTATTTGCATATAACTTATGCATATTCTCCTATATACTTTAAGTCATCTCTAGATTACTTATATTACCTAATACAATGTAACTGCTATGTAAATAGTTGTTGAACTGTATTGTTCAGGGAATAACAAGAAAAAAATAGTATGTGCATGTTCAGTACAGATGTGGTCATCTAGGTCTAACTGCATAGTACACATTAATAACAAGATAACATTCTCCACCGACCCCCACCCCGACCCCAGTATTTTAGGTCTACAGATGCAGAACCCATGGATACAAAGGGCCAGCTCTATTGATTAATCCTTATAAATCCTCTGAGAAATACAGAATTTTAACTGTATCATACAGAAAGATGAGACTGAGGGAGACCTAGAGATGTCAGCATTCAGCTAATAAGGGGCCAGGGGTATATTTGAACTCAAGTCTTTCAGATTTCAAAGGTTTTTGTGTATGTGTGTTTTTTATTGATTTCAGAGAGGAAGGAAGAGGGAGAAAGAGATAGAAACATCAGTGTTGAGAGAATCATTGATAGGCTGCCTCCCCTTGCACATCCCACACTGGGGATTGAGCCCACAACCTGGGTGTATGCCCTGGTTCATAGGTCGATGCTCAGCCACTGAGCCTCGCCAGTAGTGCTCAAAGGGTTTTTTGTTTTTGGTTTTTTTTCCTTCACCAAACCTTGCTTCTTCCAATTAGAGATCATTTTACGCTTTACTTAAAGCATAACTATGCTTTAATGGTTATCAGCAGCAATTACCTGAAATGTCCACAAGATGGAGATGTTGAGTGAAAGTAGACATTTCTCTTTGTAAAATAGAATGCTACACTAGTGGAATATTTAAATAGATGAATTCTATTTTTCTTAGTGATATTTTCTTTAGTAACTTGTTATATAGGCAGCTTGAATGTTATAAATATCATTTAATGTTTCTCTGTCATAATAGTGGTTAATATGACTTTCTATGTACCAGATAGTATTCTAGATACTTTATATACATGAATTCACTTAAAATCTCCTCAAAAAAGAATATGGAGGTGTTTTTTAAATTATAATATCCATTTTAGAAATGATTAAATGAGCATAGAGATAATAAATTATTCAGAGTAGTACAGCTAATAAATGGTAGAACTAGAATTCAAACCTAGACAGTTACAGCTATCTTTTTGGTTTATGTCAGTTTTACCTGTACATAAATGTAAGAACACTGTATGTTTAGTGTTCTTATTAGCTGGATGTCTTTGGATTGTATGCCCCCGTATTTCCAGATAAACATGTATATGGAGAAAAACAAGGATATTATGTTATAAAATTCTAACTATAAATTGAAATATTAGTGGCCAAAATTTTACTATTAAAGAAAACATCTAAGATCCTCTCTTGGTAGTTCAGATTTTCTTGCCCACCCTCTTATGTTTAATGTTATATCTCTTAAGTTGCCCATGTTTCATCATGGGAACACTGACCTCAGGAAAGGCCTTATATATTACTCTATGACATATTTTAGACGTGTAAGAAAAATGAAATAGTTCATTAAAAGTGTATGTTTTTCTTAGTTGCAGAACTTGAAGTGAAAACCAGAGAAAAATTAGAAGCTGCGAAGAAAAAAACAAGTTTTGAAATTGCAGAGCTTAAGGAGAGATTAAAAGCAAGTCGTGAAACTATAAATTGTTTAAAAAATGAAATCAGGAAACTCGAAGAAGATGATCAAACAAAAGAGATGTAAACAGTTCTGAAGAGAACTTGGTAGGAAACTAAACTGAAAATAAGGTGGACTTTGAAGGGGAAATGGATTGCAAATGCTTCTTAGAGAGCTGCATCGGTTCCTCAGCAATGGGGTCAAAGTGTTTGTACTTTTCAAGCAATATTTAATGTGAAACATATGTATATAATAGATACGAATTCTGTATAGGCATTTTAACCCATTTTAGGGTAAATTCTATGCTGTTAAGCACAATTAAAAACTTTTTTTTATTACATTGTATAGCTTATCCTTTAGACAGGCATAAAAATTCATTATAGCCCTAACCGGTTTGGCTCAGTGGATAGAGTGTCGGCCTGCGGACTGAAAGGTCCCAGGTTCAATTCCGGTCAAGGGCATGTACGTTGGTTGCAGGCACATCCCCAGTAGGAGGTGTGCAGGAGGCAGCTGATCGATGTTTCTCTCTCATCGATGTTTCTTACTCTCTATCCCTCTCCCTTCCTCTCTGTAAAAAACCAATAAAATATATTTTTAAAAAATCATTATAAAATGTAATTTATACACAGTTTGTACTTCCCTGGTAGTTAGGATTAGTGGTAAAATTAATGTGTATAATTAATTTCTTAAGTTCTTAACTGCCTTCTTCCTGATTCCTTTTAGTATTACAAATTTATTTAAGTCATAAAAAGGATTCTTGAGGCAGGAATCACCAACTACTCTTGGAGTGGAATTCCTATCGGGTACAAAACTATTACTAACGTTTCCAACACAGTGTTTCTAGGCTGGCCTCGTATGAGGAGTGCTGCGTGAAGGCTGTGCTGGTGCGTCTGCAGGAGAAGTTCGGTGCTGACCTCTGCTGCCCTCTCGTTAGTCTCGTGTAGTTCATTTGCCAATGACTTTCTACATCCTGTTTCTTCTTGGTAGAGTTGCCTATATTTTCCCCATTTACAGTCTAAAGAAGTTTTCATGTTGGAGAGTTCAGATTCAACATCTTTAATTCTGAGTTCAAACTGGCTTCTTATTGAAGCACTATTATTCTCTCTTAACTGCTCTAGATTTTCTTGAGCAGGTTACAGACATGCTTGTGCCGGGAGCCGGTCCATGCTTGCTGTTTCAAGGGACCTGGCATATATGGCATACTGTTCTTAATATGTTTGCTCACCTTCTTGGCACTATGTGTTTTAACCAAGGTCACCTCTCTGAGAAAGGTTGTTTCCCCAGGTAGGGATTTTCCCCTGAAGTTAGGGAGGGAATAAAACCTCTCAACTAAGTGCCAGGCGGGTAATTAATCACTTTAACTATGAACAATCATGCTTAAGCTACATAATCTTTACTCCTTGGAATGGAGATAAGAAACACCCTAACCTTTGTAATAGAGATTGATAGGATTTGAATCAACTGGTATAAATGCAGATGTAACAAGACAGCAAGACACAGAACTTAGAACACAGAACTTAGAACACAGAACTTCGCTGGAGAGAACATGGCAAAAGATCCTGGACTGAACCTGACTACAGAAATTGGCAAGAGAACCTGACTAGAACCTGGTGACTGAACCTGGCTGGAGAACCTAGCGAGGGAACATGGCTACAGAACCTGGCTGGAGAACCTAGCAAGAGAACGTGGACACAGAACCTGGCTGGAGATCCTAAGCAGAACCTCTCTGGAGATCCAGACCAGAACTTGGCTGGAGATCCTGGCTGGAGATCCTGGCTAGGCTGCTGAACAACTGAACGCTGTCTCCGTGTCATTCCTTACTCGCCGACTCCGTCCACACCTTTGGGGACCCCTGGACCTGCTGGGGTTGGACCCCGGCATGCTTGTGTCTGTAAAAATAGATTGACTTGTTCTAATTTTTCTGCTACATTCTGTCTTGTTCTTTCTTAAATCTTCTGTTTATACTGTTTTACTTTACAGTATTCTACCATATTAATTTCCATGTTTTCTGAGGTTTATTGCTGCTTGTTTCCACCTCTCTTTTATATTCCTTAGTTTTTCACATTTCTGTTGAAGTGTATTTTTTTCATCCAGATGTATAGATTTTGAAGATGCAGGTTGCACTTTTGCTATAAGATCATCATTCTGGTAATCTCTTTTTCTAATTCACCATTTTTCTTCATTTCTTGATGCAAGCTATATTGCAGAGATAGGTTTAACTCCATATATTTCTTTAACTGTTCCTTTTCATGCTGAGAACGGTCCCGCTTCCTCCGAGCTCCAGCGCTGGGCGGCGGCATTGGGTGAACCAGGGACATACAGGGAGGAACTGAACTGTCTGACATCAGGGCAGGAATTCAGGGGTGGCTTTCTCCCAGATGGAGATGCTCCTAGGGGTTATTGTTCCTGTTCATCCTGACTCTTTTGTATTTGATGTGCCAGTATCCAGTAAGTACTCAATAAATGTAGTTTACTGACCGGTTTCCTGCCTTGTAATGTTTCTTCCTTTCTCTGATGACTGGAGCTCTCTCATTACAATTAGTCTTCATAGTATTGTGATCACACATCTTTTATTGGCATCCATTGTAGTAACAGAAGATCTTTGATGGCAACGATCACATCTTAAGTATTGTTCTGCCTGACTACCCTGTAGTGTCACTAGTTTTCACAGGGAACAATTTAATCTCTCATCCTGTCCCAAAGACGCACCGGAAGCACCGGTGCATCACCATCACATTTACCCCTAATTTCTCTACCTCTTCCTCAGCCTCTTCTGTTCACATCCACATGGTGAGCCCTCTACTTTTGGACTCACCTACTGTGATTTGAGCATTTAGTAGTACTTAATGTTTAAGACCATGTTGGCTGAACTATCTTCGCAACCGAGGGACAACAATAGATAGGAAAGTATTTTGAAAATGTAAGTAACACTCTTGCCAGGTAGCTTAGTTGCTTAGAGCATCATCCTGATACATCAAGGTTGCAGGTTTGATCTCCAGTCAGGGCACATACAAGAAGCAGCCAATGAATGCATAAATAAGTGGAACAAAATCGATGTTTCTGCCTGGCCAGCGTGGCTCCATGGTTGAGCATCAACCTATGAACCAGGAGTCATGGTTCAATTCCTGGTTAGGGAACATGCCCGGGTTGTGGGCTTGATCCCCAGTTAGGGGGCCTGCAGGAGTCAGCCAGTCAATGATTCTCTCTCATCATTGATGTTTCTATCCCTCCCTCTCCCTTCCTCTCTGAAATCAATAAAAATATATTTAAAATAAGTTAGTGAGGATGTGGAGAAATTAGAACCCTCATGTTGCTGGTGCAAATGTAAAATGGGTATAGCTACTTGGAAAAATAGTTTGGCAATTCCTCAAAAAGCTAATCTTAGTTATCCTAATGACCCAGCAATTCTACTTCTAGGTGTACACCCAAGATAAATGAAAACATGCTTACACAAGAACTTGTACATGATTGTAGCAGACTTATGCATAATAGCCAAAAAGGATACAACCCAAATATCCATCAGCGATGAAGGAAGTAAAATGGGGCATAGCCATACAGTGGAATGTTATTCAACCTGAAGGAAATAAGTACTAATTTTGCTACAACAGAATGAATCTTGAAAACAAATATAAGCTGAAACCGGTTTGGCTCAGTGGATAGAGCGTCGGCCTGTGGACTGAAAGGTCCCAGGTTCGATTCCGGTCAAGGGCATGTACCTGGGTTGCGGGCACATCCCCAGTGGGTGGTGTGCAGGAGGCAGCTGATCGATGTTTCTCTCTCATCGATGTTTCTGACTATCTCTCCCCCTTTCTCTCTGTAAAAAATCAATAAAATATATTTAAAAAAAAAAAAGAAAACAAATATAAATGAATAAAGCCAGACACAAAAGCCACGTATTATATAATTTCATTTATATGAAATGTCCAGAATAAGCAAATTCTTAAAAATAGAAACTTGATTACTTGTTGCCAGGGGATGGGGCAAAGGGGATTTCCATTTGGGGTGATGAAATGTTCTAGAGTTAGTAGTGATGATTGCACAATCTTGTGAATATACTAAAAACACTGAATTGTACATTTAAACATGGTTTTAATACTATGTAAATTTATCTCAACATTTGTAAAACATGACAAGTTTTGTTTAGAATTTTAAAGCAAACATTAAAAATACAAGGTTTTGATTTCTATTTCTCCATTCTTGTACAAGTGGAAGAGAATATGTGTTTACCAAGGGTTAATTACTTTTGAGATAACGACTAAGAACAAGTAAAGTCAGCTAATTAGGTAGCTCACTTCTTTAAGAAGAGCAAAGTGTAAGTCTCATTTTTCTAAACAGTGTGGTAAGTAGGTAGGGCTGCTATCCATATTTTGCATGTAAGAGATAGGAGATTAAGGGGTTAGTCATCTAGCAATGTGACTCAGACCAGTAATTTACAGCCTTTCTGCCTCAATAACACTTAATTCTTCTCATGTTCAAAGCATTAGCTCATGCCTAAATACTTCGCAAATTTCTTTCCCTGGAGTAATTTAAGACTGTGTCAAATTTGAACATCAGGTGGCATAAATATAAAACTGAGATAAGAAGCTTGCTAGCCATTAGTAACATGTAAGAAGATTCTGGTGTTAAGTTCTGGTGGGTGGAATATTAAAGAATAGATATTTGAAATCTCTTGTACAAGACATTCCTTAGCATATCCCACTAATATCTCCAGTTGGTTTTTAAAAAAATAGTAATAGACTTTAAACTCTTGAGATTGAAACCAAGGAAAATGAGGAGTAAAAACAGGAGTAAATACTGTTTTTAGAATTGCAAAGAATTTTTAAAGTACAGTGAGAAACCCAGAAATCATAAAGTTCTGAGTTCCAAATTGAATGAGTTTAGGAATCTCCTGAGATTTGCTTTAAAGTACAGTCATGTGTCACAGGGATACCTTCTGAGAAATGCACCATTAAGGGGTTTTGTCATACAAACATCAGTGTGCACTTACACTAACCTAGATGGTATCGTCTGCTACATACCTGGGCCCCGTGGTATAGCCTTTTGCTCCTACGCTACACAAGCCTGCACAGCATGTTACTGTGCTAGATACTGTAGGCAAGTGTAGCACCATGGTAAGTATTTGTATATCTGCACTCAGAAAAGGTACACAAAACGTCTGAGGCTGATGCCCACACATAACACAGCACAGTTTTACAGCAAACCTTTTTTTAAGTAGGAGTACACTCTAAAATGGCAATGAGGACCGGCCGCTGTGGCTCAGTGGTTGAGCGTTGACCCATGAACCAGAAGGGCACATGCCCAGGTTTCGGTCTCCTTCCCCAGTAGGGGGCATGCAGGAGG